CAAAATTCTTGATCTTATATTTTTAAATAATTTGATTAATAGTACAGTAGAATTATGCAATGTACCATTAAGTCCTTGTGATATGCACCACAAGCCGTTGGTAATTAATATTGAGTTTTATAGTTTTTTGCCTTCTGCTTCCCCCATTCCATATTATCATCTGAATGATACTAACTTGTCACTTATTAACGCCTCTATTTCAGCCTTTGATTGGGTTTCCCTTTTTCGGATGGCTCAATCGATGATTGTTATACTAAGTTCTTGGTTGCCCTTTTTAATATTATTGATACTTATGCCCCTGTGAGGGTACGAAGATCCTATAGGCTTCCTGGTACACAAAAGGTTTAAAAAACTTAAAGAATAGAAGGGATAAGCACTACAAACGATTTATATTGACAGGTGAGACTCGAGCAGGAGAGCTGTACCGGCAATTTAAGCGGGAATTTGATTTCCTTAATAAGTTCCTCTACAATCAGTATATATCCGATGTCGAAGCTAGCCTTCGATCCAATCCTAAAGCTTTTTGGCGGTTTGTTAACAGCAAAAGTCAAAATCGGACATACCTTCATCCATATGTTATGGTAATTTAGCAGCCGACTCGGATCAGGGCGTTTCTGATCTTTTTGCAAAATACTTTGCCTCTAACTTGGAGCCGAAGGTTCCTTGGAGTGATCATGAAACTCTTCTTAGCATTGAGCCTTTTCTTAATGTGAGTAACATGGACGTTTTGGACGGTGACCTAGTTGAAGCCACTGGACATCTGACCGAGTCGCTCACACCTGACGTGGACGGTATCTCCCCATTCTTTCTTAAGAGGAGTATCGCTTCTCTTTCTACTCCCCTTCAACTGCTGTTCTCCTTTTCGCTCTCTTCTGGTAGATTCCCCCACCGGTGGAAGATTACTTCTATATCGCCTATTCACAAAGGTGGCAGTAGGTGTGATGTTACTAACTATCGACCTATAGCCAAAATTTGCAACGTCGCTAAGATACTGGAGCGGATAGTAACTAAAAATTGACTTTTCTGGCTCGCAATTTCATATCCCCCAACCAGCATGGTTTTCTGCCTGGGAGGTCCACTACCACTAATTTAGCTGTCTTTTCTAAGCACTGCTTTGAAGCTTTTGAAAACCGATTTCAGGTTGATGCCATTTACACCGACTTCTCCAAAGCCTTCGACAAAGTGTGTCATGCTGCCCTTCTGGCCAAATTATATAAATTAGGTATTCATTCCTGCCTATTAAGTTGGTTCGAGTCTTATCTGGCTGACCGACCTTGCCACGTTACTGTTGGAGACGCTATCTCAAGTCCATTTGTCACCTCCTCTGGTCTTCCACAAGGCAGCTCTCTTGGACCTCTTCTATTTATAATTTTCATTAATGACATCTCGTCATGCTTTCGTCATTCGCACTTTTTAATGTATGCGGATGACCTTAAAATCTATAAAGAGATTAGCTGCATTAGTGACAGTTACTTGTTACAGGAGGATATATCCAGAGTTTACTCATGGTGCTCCCGCAATCTTCTTCCATTAAACTTATCTAAGTGTTTGTTTACCCGTTACAGTAGGCGGTCTCTTGAAATCTGTACGGGTTATTCCATCAACAATTATAATTTGGCAGCTAAAGAAGAGGTGTTAGACCTTGGTGTCTTATTCGACAGCAAATTTAAATTTTCGGGTCACTTAGACTACATTTTACCTAAAGCGTATGCTATGCTGGGCTTTGTTAAGAGGCACGTGAACCAGTTTAAAAGTCCATACTCGAGCCTCAGCGTCTATGCTGCATTCATTCGGTCGAGGCTGGAATATGCCTCAATCATTTGGAACCCGGAGTGTAAAGTTCGTTCCAATAGAATTGAGCGACTCCAGAAAAATTTTTAAAATTTGCACTTCTGCCTCTAAGGTTTCAGGATCCTGTTCCTTCTTACCAGAGCCGTTGCCTTCTTCTGAACGTTTGCACGTTGGAGGATCGGCGTAAACTGGCAGCGTTAACCTTTTTAAATAATTTAATCGTTAATAACATTGATTGTCCTTTTTTGTTGGGACTCGTTAATTTTAATGTTCCTCAAAGGGACCTTCGTACCTTTGCCCCCTTTCGGGTCAAATGTCATAGGGCCAATTATTTCTTAAATGAGCCGATAGAGCGGGCTCTTTCTTATTTTAATTCTTTGCCGCCTAGCCTCCGAACTGAGTGGGGCTCAGATAAGGGTGTGTTAAAACACAAGTTATTAAGGCATTTATTAAGTTTTTGTTAATTTTGTAGTTTTATTTATTAGGTGTAAGTTGTTATGTTATGTAGCCATGTAAGGATTTGTCCATTGGCGAAATAAATAAATAAATATTTCCTTACAAAGAATTATTAAAAAAAAGAACTTTAATAAATACATTTATTTTTCCCCCAAAATTAAGAGGGCATAAAATAATATTAAGGCTTATGGCCATTTGTTTCATAAGTCCATATATTTTAAAAAATGTTCCCCAGTTGGCAAACTCTTCGTATTATTCAAGTGTATAACCACCAACAACAGCGGTATGGATCTGTAAGAACACCGACAGCATCTGCAGGTAAATCATTCAGGCTCCAACTGTGGGTCAGACCAAGCTGTAATTAATGAGCAAGTGGAACATCGTCGAGCCTGGCGCGGAGCAAATTAACTTGAACTGGCTGCCAGTGGAAGCTTTCTTGAGGTCGAAAGGTTATGGGGTTGAGGGTTTAAGTGCAATTAAACCGACGCCGCATTTTGTCTTGAAATCATCAACTTTTTCACCTTTTTTTTATTGCTGAGGGTCGCAAAAAAGAAAACCCCAAAGAAAATATCGAAGCAGAGAAAATCTTCAAGATAGTTCCGGGTGTTTCTAGAAATTTGAAAAGTTCGGTTATGGAAAATTGTGCAGGTATTCGTGGAAGGAGTTTTTATGCAGGCTTGAACGGTTAAGCAAAGCCAATCATTCAATTAATAATTCATTTGAGAGAAATTAAAATATATTGTAAGGATGAAGGGATGAAAGACTTAAAGGCGTTTGATACATGTTCTTTAAAGCGTATATGTATCTTTACTTTCAACCCACCTGAACGAGCCTCAAACTTATCATAAGCTCCAGACTGGCGCCATGTTAATTATTAAGTAGAATACAGCAATTTAGGGGGAATTCAAAGTCGAAGGAAGCGCGATGCCCCAGCACTCACCCCGCCTTCCACTTTTCGAGTTGAGTGTCTGTTATATGCGTTCAGGTGTAAACTTGGGGATTAAGTGTCTCAGTGTTTGCCTTGGGTCTACAAGAAATAGATTTATCCAGATAGGAAGGGGCGCATGGGAAGTTCCTTTGCCCTTTAACCCCTTGACATTTCCGCTTTGCTCCAATCTTTGGCCAGACTTGTCTAATTTTCCTGCTGTGCGGCGTTGTTTTGGGTTTCATCTCTGCTGTTTGTCTTTTCTCAAGGTGAGCATTTGAAAAATTGATGAGATTTTCTTTGCTTTGGTTTTGAAGTTGAAGTTTGTCGACACTTGAACTTTTCCATTCCGCTGTCGGCGAAGAGGATTTGGTGAGGAAGGCATTTCCGGTGACCAACAGTAAGTCATGAGAAGAACATTTTTATGGATAGTGCAAACGGCGAAGGAAAAAGTAAAACAGTGAAAAGGCTGACGGGAAAAAGATTTGCTAAAAGGGATACCAAAGAGAGGAGAAAATAAGCTGCTATGGGGAAATTTTTTCAAGCTATTATAGATACCCTCGTTCAAATGCACATCCATTCAAGAAGGCAGTCATTCATATTCATGTTAGAGGGATAAATGGGAAAAAATTGACAAAGAGTCGGCCTAAGCCCTATTGATTGAAGCAGCGAAAGAGAAAGAAATCAAAGGGGAAATCAAAGAAGACGTCCAAAAGGAGTCTCTGGAAATTAATGGCATTTCTAGTACACATTTTCCATAGAAAACCAAATACAGGGAAGTCGTCGCAGAAAATCAAACTTCACTCTTGATTGATTTTCTTCGTTTCCTTTTTGGATCCGGCTGCCATAAGCCGCCGAGAACTGTGTTTCCGGACCACTCCATAATTTAATTTTTACCCCTAATAGAATTTATGATGGCCAGCACTAAAAACCGTTTCCTAATATGCGTTTAAAGACGACTCACACACATGCTCACGCACCCAAATGAATATCAATGAGCTGTCATAAAAGCAGCATCCTGTGCAAGGGAGACGGCAACTGCGAGTGACAAGACTGACACTTAGGCAAACATTTGGGCTCCCAGCAACTACAAATACTGGTTAACCCACCCGAATGACAAACACAGGCTAGACACCAAGTTGAAACTTCATAGGCGTACTATAGGATGTGTCCATTACAAGGGGATATACGCATGTAAGCTATATATTTTTCATAGATATAGGAAACTTTCCATTAGTTAAGCTGCTATTCAACTTTCTGCTTAAATATAAATTTTCCATGTGGTAATCCCTTAACCCCTTGCGCTCTACGCCTTTCTTTCTGCTTCTGCGATGGCCAAATTCGGGTCACTTTCGCCATGCCAATGACATGTGATTTCAACTAATGACAGCTTTTGGGGTGTTTGCCGACGGAGCAACAACCAACAAACAACCAAGGCCCGGAGTCTATTCCGGCGGACTCACAATAACAAGCTTAAAATTTAATGAAATTTTCATCTGTCTATTCAAATGAACAATAGAACAAATAATAATAGTAATAATAAATAATAAAATAATAAATAGAACAAATGTGTTCTATTTTTCCCGGACCATAATAATCCGATGTGTGTGAGCCGGTTGCAACATGGCATATGATTAATGCGACTGGGCCCAGCCCCAAAAAGGACCCTAGAAGGTTGATCCTGCCAACTTGTTTGACTTTTGTCAAATATTCAAAGCAAAAACTTTAAAAAGTGTTTGACTGATAAAGTTTCTATAACATGAGTATCATATCGTATAAAATAAATAGATATTTTAAATAAAATTTAAAGGTGGAAATGTAACCTTACCGGTATGTAAAGTAGAGCAAACGTTGCTGGCATCAAACATGTCAACTGCAAAGAAATAAAGTGGTTGGTTAATCTTAAATATACGCTTTAGAATCTATATATAAGACCAAGTTCTATCTTTTAGTTAAGCTTAAATAAAATGTCAATTGAGTTTTTATTAGTTCTTCAACATATTTGTTCCCCAATGATGAATTTATACAACCGACGTCAATGCCTGGACTTCAAAACACTCTGCTCTAGTGGCCCAGATATCGTTTGCTCTTTGATGCATTAAGTGATGCACTTCACACCGAACAGCCAACTATCCGTATTTCCCCACCCACACTAAACAATCCGCCGTCTATATCACACACACATTACAATTTTATACATCCTGTTATGGGAGCTTTCAGCGATGACAAGCGCTTCTCCTTTGACCCTAAACGCAGGCGCAATTGATCGCTTGATTGATTGACTGTCGGATGGCGCGGTGAAACGGTTGATTGGATGCATCCATTCGAATTGGGATTGAGTTGCCTAGTCGTGCAATCGCTCATCGACATATCGTTAGCTGACCAGGATTCTAGAATTTATACCTTTTCCAGACGATAAAGATAGTTCAGTACTAAAGAAGCTATTATGATGAGAGAAACATTTATTATTTTAAGCTTCTGTTTGTTTCTTTTCAGTGAAAAATATTTTGCATTTCTGCCAAGCACTTTTGGCACCCAAGCCAAGAAAACAAATGTGATCTTTTGTTTTGGCCCTTCGGCGCTGCCCACATCCTTTCCACTAACTTCAATGGCCTATCTTGGCATACAATTGGATGCCGTGGCTCTGTTGTGTTGGTGGCTCTTCCACAGTGTTGGCCTAATTAGCAGCTTACGTAAAATGCCCGCCACTTCCCGCTGTTTTATTCACAAACACACCCTCGCAGATACACATACACCTCCACATGGGCATTAGGGATAAGCCAAATGTTGCCTTGCATTTATCACACACACAAAAAACACTTTGTTTGGAACGAGGCAGAAAGTGGAGATGATGCCAAAATGGCCAATACCAGTAATGGCAGCCGCAGAGCAACTAAAAATGTAATTTTGGCATTAGGCAAGCTCGGCAAACATAAAATTACCTTGATTAGAAACTCAAATGTGGCTCATGCCGAATAAACGAGTGGCAGATAAAAGGGGGTGGTTTCAGGATATGGGATGTAAGCATTGTGGCCACGTGGCCATGTATATCAGCGCAGGCATAAGCCTAAACGACTTTGGCCTCTTTGCACCCTCCGTGGCCCCAACTCATATATCAACGTACACCTGTACCAAAGGGCCATGGAATGGAAATGGGAATAAAGCGAAGCCAAAATAAAACTGCGTTCGGTGTTAAGCTGCCAGCTGAGGAATGGCTGAGGTCTGGCCTGGTTTAGGTCTGGGATTTGTGGGTTGTGCGGGCCTGTTGGTAGTGGGGGTTTGGTGTGAAAACACACATTCGTGCATCGCCTGTTACCTTGAGGGAAACCAGCCCGTAATAAAAACCAAGCGTCACACATACAAAAATTAGATGGGGGATAGCAAGAAGAGATGGTGGAGAAAAGAAGCTGAAAGTTGAAATAAACTACGCCATAGGTTGAAATAAACCATACGCCTTCAGAAAAAGTTTTAAGAAAAGAATACAATCGGTTCTTAAGAACTCACTTGTCTCAAATTTAAATTTCAATTTTAAAGACACATCAAAAACATATTCTATAAATTTTTATACTTTATTTTAACAATTTTTGATATTCATGTAATAATACATATTTTAATATTCTGGGAGGAATGTTTGACATAAAAAGTGTAATCTTTTTTTATGGTAAAATTGTACATTAAACCTGAAGGACACCACCTTCAAAGGTAAAAGCTGCAGAGTCGTACATACATATAATATATCTTTATTCGGATCTTTCTGTCTGCTTTTTTGCCATTCTGTATCAATTACACGTCGCCTGTTTAGTTTTATGTTTAGCCATATCAAACAGATGTGGGCGCTGTTCGGTGGGTGGCTTTCGCAGACCAAGGCCTAATCAAGAAAATTGCTGCAGCCTTTTAGGGGACCAACCAAGCGAAAACGAGGTAATAGCTAGAATCATATGGCTGGCATAGCCGAATGCTCCGTTCGACACTTCAGGTTTTGATTAGAGGGCGTGGCATGATTGATGAGCAATCCAACTTCTGAGTCCCAGCTCTGCCCTGGCCGTGCCAAGAGCTGTCCACGACCCGGACTTTGTTCCAGGCTGCCAAACTTTGAATGAAAAGAGTGTTAAAAAGTTTTTGCCTCTCCGGCCGTTTTTTTTTTCGCTTTTTTTCCAGCAAGAGCAACATTGAAAAAATTTGCAATGCAGCATAAAAAGTGACACTAAAGCCCCGACGGAAAAGTTGTATTCGATGTTTTTTATTTTCCTGGCTGCAGCTAAAAATTGAAATGAAGCTAAGCAGAAGCTCGAGTAGTTTTCATAGCCAGGATTCTCTCGCCATTCGGGGAACGGCATTAACAAACTTTTAGGTCAGCCAAAGGCAAAGTTGCAACGTTCAAGGTGGGTCAATCAACGAAGGGGCTTAAGCCAGTTACTGCAGTGAAATATTACGCTGCCAGTGGCTGGAGGAGTAAGTTTAATTCTAAATAGACTTATGTAGGCGGCTTAGAAAAGTTCACATAATTGAAAGTTTATTAATTTGGAAAGGCTTTTGAATGGGTTATGATTTTCTTGTTTTGGGCAATTAGTTTAATTAACCATTTCAATTTAACTATATTCCCATTAACAGGAGAATTTTGCCAAAGAGTCACTAATCAGCCGGGCCCATTTACGCTCAATGGGCCATTCAATGAGGCTTAGTTCCTTTTACATGCAGATCAAGCGTATGTTTTCCCCAAAGGACACTCTCAGTACACAAAATACCAACCCCTCAAGTGCGGCAATCAACATTGCTTTGAGCCGACAAACAAAGCACTTGAAAGACTCGAAACTCGCTCGCTTTGTCATTAGGCGACAAGTCGAAAGGACATACTTATGCGTATAGATGTACGTTAGGCCATATTCAAAACACGCAACACTTGTCAGTAACAGGCGTCGGCAATCATTCAACATGGCAACACACCCAGACACGCGTAAGGATCCAAAAGAAACAATGAACTGCATATGACTTGTTCGAAAGGGGCATGGGAAGGAAATACTTTTGGTCCTTGGCTTTGGTTTGAGTTTTTCTTCTTTGAACCCGCTCGAGCCCGCTTCTTCTTTGCCATCATCATAGTTGTGGCTGCTTTTGTTGCTTTGCTGCTTTCCTGCTGTTTATGACTCTTAGTCGTCGCCGCTCGAAGGCATTTGGCACACGGGCGACGCCATTTTATGTTCTGCAAGCAGTTAGAAGACGTTCTTAACGTTCATTTCCCCCAAAGTCTCCTCTGCCGGTAAATACTTTCGTGTGTGCGTGTTCACGCCCTAACACCTGCAATGGCTTTGTTGACAGCCGAGTCGGTTAAGGATAAATGGCAAGTGCGAGAAGAGGAAGTGTATTGTTACTTATGACATTTATATGGAATAAATGAGTAATTTTCCTGTTGTTTAGTATGCCTAATGGGGAAAAGCAAGGGATGTAGAAGTTTCAATTGCCCAAAAGCCTGATCTATTTACTCTTTTTTTATAACTTATTCATTTGGCGATTCCAACCACATTCAAGGGATTCTCAAGCACTTGCCAACTTATGGGCGCCGTTGAAGTACAAGGGCAAACAATTGTTTTGAGGTCGGCCTGGACTAGCCACGGACGAGTGTGTATGTATTCAGAGATCGGTCTGTGTGTTTGGAGGTACATTTATTTTGTTTGCTGTTTTGCTTGCACTTCACTTAATTGAATCAGTGTGATTGACATGTCTCTTCTGCATACATGTATTGGCATCGAATGGAACAGAATGGCCCCAATGTGTGTCTGCTTAGAGATAATCTCTGGTCAGCTTTGTCAAGCGAATGAATGCATGCCCGTATATATGGGTGTCCTTTTGTGCAGTCACAATGTTCATCAATTATCAACCAACAGAACTAGAGCTCCGGCTGATGCTGCTTCTGCTTTTGCTGAGTAAACTGAAAAAGCAATAAATCTAAACAAAAGGCCGCCGGGGTCAAGTAGAATGATATAGGAGGATAGCAAGGACATTGCCCAAAGGAGTGGGCCTACACTCTACGTACCATGGACTATTTCCATGAATTTAACGGCTAGAAAGCTAAATATTCCATTTTCCCCTATGGCAAACCATTTTGGTTTATAGCTTGGGCTGAAATCCTACATGTATGTATCATGTATATTTTTTTAAATTATTCCAGCGCAACAGTCAAAAGTTGAGACTAACTAACTGGGAAGAAAATTTCAAGCTGGCACTTTTTCGTTTGTCCCGAAAAATGGAGAAAGGAAAAGAAATATTGCTGGTTCTGCTGAAGCCTTGTACAAATACAATTTAGGTAAAACAAGCTTGGCAACAAACTTTGGGAGTAGGACATTTTTGCTTTTGTTGGAGAGTTTTCCTCTTTTCAGGCTCTGCACTTTCTTCTGGCGATGCAGTACGAACAGGGAAAGGATCAGGATATGTGGAAAGTCGAGGCAGGAGCACAATAGCGCACAAGAAAGCGCTTGCCAAGGAAAACACATTGATTGCGGAACGCAGACAAAAATGGGATTCTCTGCCGCCCCAGGGGACGAGGTGGAGGTGGAATACGAGTGGGCTGGAAGGAAATATGTGGAAGGGGCGGAGGCAAAAGCGTTCACATGGAAAACATAAGTCGCACACTCAAATCAATAGCATTGACAGTTTGGAATTGTTTGAAAAACGAACTAAAAGAGTCGGGCCAAGAAAGGAAGGTTGATAGAATCCGAGATACAAGCTCAAGGGGCGAGACGAAATTAGGCGGAGGGGTCTGTCTATGTGTGCCAATTGCATTCATTTGACTCGACTTGGCTGCCAATTGTCTCGATGCCATGGAAAATTTCTAGCAGACGTCATTGGAGAGGCAAGGAAAAGAGTCGGAAAACTAAAAAAGTGAAATCAAAATCAAGAAAGAGGAATACCGATTCGTGAATATTTTACACTTAAATTCTTTGAGGAATTTATTGAGATATTGATAAGCGGCTATCTGGAAGTGGGTTGCCAATTATATATAAGGCCGTACTTATTTTATTATTTAGCCTTAAAGATTCGACATAAATAAATACAATCAAGCAGGTGAGTAATCAAACGCAGAGATACAGCAAGCGCAGCGAGAAGGGGTGAGCAATAAGAGAAAAAGCTGTTCAAGGATTGCAATTACAAAAGCAACAAAAGAAAATCAGCTAAAGCTGCCAGACACAACAAAAACAACAGCCAGCACACCAATAATGAAATGGCAAAGTAAAAAGATAAAAACTACCTTGGCCCAGTATTGAAACCGCCTATAAAGAACACTCCTTCTCTTTCCCTCTTTCTTCGGCCGCTTTGTTTATGGGAGAGCATGTGTGTATGTGGGTGGGTGTGCTGGTCTCAGTGTACGAGATATATTGGCTATAGATACTCGAGCAGGGACCAACTGCTGCTGCAGAGCCACCGCCAATAACAAGCAACAATAAATGTCGGCGCCCACTGCTCACGCCCCTTCGACAACACGCTCCCCACTCTGCCACCTGCATAAAAGTGCATTCAAGACGTGACCAAGTCGCCAAAATAAGAGAACCGACGGAGACAATTTTCGTTTCATTTCACTTCAGTTTCAGTGCAACGTGGCGTATGCTTAATACGGCTCTTTTCGATGCACTTGAAAAATAAAACTATTTATTAAAGAAAAATTGATATTTTAAAAATTTTACGCCCTTCTGAGAAGTTGGTCTATAATATGTTGCCAAAACAATATGTAATTTCGACACCAATATATATAATGATACTAAGCAAATATTTTTTCACAGTGGGTGTCACAAAAAATTGAAGGGCCCTGGATTGGCAGGAGCAAGAATTTCAAAGAAGAGCGTTGAGCAGTCTTATCAGTGACAAAGTTTGCCCAAGTCAAGTACTCGACATATTTGTCGACCAAAGATTGGAGGAGCCACCCAGCCCCCAGCAGACGATACAGTAAGAGTGCAAAAAATGTAAACCTGGCCAACCTCAATGCTGTCGTCGTAGACCGATAAGACACACACACAAGCACACTCACCCTGTGCAAATTGGCCATGTTACCAAATGGAAGCCAATTTTCTATTGATCACGTTTTTTTTTTCATTTTCCGAAAGCTGACTAGGGAAAATGGAAATTTTTTTATTACCAAATAAGTAGAACACCCGAATAAAAAAATAAAAGCAATACAATTAAAATTATTTATTAGCAGGCCAACGCCAGAAATTGGCTGAGAGCAGACGTTGGGAGGAGGCTGACTATTTGGATGATGGCTAGCAGAACGGCAGCAGCGAAAACTGGCGCACATTTGGCCATGTCTTTTTGGCCTCGTGCCAACCGTAACAGAACACAGTGGCAACAACAATGCGACCAACTTTTGTTATGCCCATTCTGTTGCCTTTTCGACTTCTTGGTCTAGAGCTTATTTATGTGCGTTGGCTGCAAAATATGGCGCAGAAAATATTTTCTTCTATTCCTTGTGCTGCCTACCACCCCTTCCCTTTTCTGCATCTTGTATATTATTATTTTTGAGGCTTATTTACTGCACAAGCAGAAGAGGCTAATTGGTGGGCGGCGAGTTGGCGAGGGGGTGGTGTCCGCAGAGGCAAATATTATGCATTGTGCATTTTTAACATTATTTATGGCTGGGAAATATTTTGAGTGACGGGACTCCATAATCTCTAGTTGTCGCCAATGGTCTGAGAATGCAACAGAAGCGCGGTAATTTATCTGTCAATTTATCCTTCAAGTTTCCCATTTAATTATATTTATTGCAGCAATGCTTTATATCACACTGTGGTGGAGTTTGGAGGATTGAAATAAAATATTTAATAATTATATATTAAATATTCTTTATCATGTCCCAAAGTTACATGTGTTCACCCCCAGAAAACCTAAACTCAAAATTGAACAAAGAGCATTCTGATCGGGCTCAACAGTGCATTCCGATCTTCCACGTCTTCGGTTACAGTTTCGTTTCAGCTTCAACCTTATCTGCACACCCGAAACCAGAAGCTCGAAGACGCCGGAGCCATTCGAGCTCAGCAAAGAAAACGAAGAATGTTGAGCCAAAAGTTTCAACAAACAGTGACACAGAATGCAGCGATAAAGACAAGTCACTGAACTCGATCCCCTAAGAAGCGTACACCACCACCCAAGCCTTATCATCTGTAAGTGCTGTTTACTTTATTTTATTTTTGTTTTAGGGGCATCTAAATAATTGCCAAAATGTCTGGTTAGTCAAAAATGGTTGCAGAGTTGATTGACAAATCGTGGGAAAAGGTGACAGCACAAGTCACAAGTCATGTACATTTATATCTAAGTAGGAAGAGAACGGCAGGACATGTATAGGGTTCAGTTACCTGGCCTCAGAGGAAGGTAAATGTGCTTGATAGTAGACTCTCGTGGAAGGCGCCAATGTGAATAAACTCATTTTTCTGCTGCACTCGCATCACATCGTTTACCCTGATGTATTACCTTCCCAAAAACAGATTTGCTAATTAAGTGGCAGTCGCATATAAGGCGCATTTCCAACAAAAATTAATTAAAGAATTGTCACATCAATCAGGTTGCAAATTATGGCTCTTGCCTTTTTGTTATATTCTTTGTGCACAAGAATTTTTAAATAAACAAATAAAATGCAGAAAATAGATTTATGACCGAGTGCCAGGAAATTTATGACAGATGTAAAAAATTGTCAGCATTTTCATTTGCTTTTTCCACATCTACCGTCGTGCATTTACTTTTTCATATTTTGGTTTTATGAATGACGCTGATTCCTGTCAGAGGAGAAACCTAAAACTGGGATCAGAGTGTCGAAACCAGCTAAAAGTGGTCATATCCATAGATGTGGAGAAACACAAAAACAGGGATACGAATACTCAGGGGTCTTTTATTTAAAATGTTCTAGAGATTATCCTTGTTCTGGAAAAAATATGCCCTCGGACCCTCTTGAAATAGATGGCGATCCACCATTCTCCATTTATATTCTTTGAATTTTCATTAATTTGGTGAAATTCTATAGAAAATAGGATCGGTTCTTTTAATGATCCAATCAAAGGTGGAAAAGAATATTCGATGGAAATTGTTCATTATGTTTGTCGTTAGAGTACAACTTTTGCACTACATTTTATTGCTTTTTGCTATTATTTTCACTTTTTTTGAGTAACGTGTTTTTTAATTTAGTACAAATTAATTTAGCCGTAAAGTGAAAAATGTTTTTCCTCTGCACACTCTTCTTGACTGTCTTTGTTGAACAAACAAGCCCTTACATTGGCCAACCTGTCGTATGCTTAATGACGTGTATATAATGCAAATATTTTGCGTCGTTCATGAATGGATTTCTTTATACAAGCTGGTATCTATTACTCAACACGAATGATCACAAACATAAGTTGTTTACCAACCTTTGTGGAATTATTTTCAAGTTGCTTCTGGATCGATGAGAATAAGTACGATTCACTGGCACGGGTATCCAAAGTGCTGTTGCAGAAATCCAAAATGCAAAGTTCACCAAGAATCGAAAACTAAATTTATGTGAACACTTTAATGCGAAACTTTATTCATTTTTTGTATTTGTGGTACCGCTTTCTGTTTATATTAAATAATATTCCAAAAGACGAAACTCTGTATAAAATGCACACAATTTAAGTAAATTATTCCTCTGTCTCGTTTATCTGTTTATTTTTTGGGTAAGCTTTTGCTTGTTTTATTACACTTTAAACTTTGACACTTGATTGGCTTTTTCTTGGTAGATTTTTAAGTTTACCAAAATTCAGTTTTTTTGTAAAAATGAAGCGGCAAAAAAATAGTTTTTGCTACTTTTGAGGTTTTGATGTTTATTTTTGGAGCACGCACTTTTTTACTTTGTATACATTCCAATAGGAATTCTCCTTTTGTGTTTCTTTTATTTTTTTGGCACTTTTGAGTTTTTACCCTTTGGGTTTTTGGTTTATTTCTGTTTCGGAAAACTCGGCGGCTTGTTTTCGGGCTGTCTATTTTTAAACGAAAATATTCTGCGGTCAGCAATTTAAAAATAACAATGGCTCCACATGCACTTCTTGTTCCACTGAGAGTAGGTTTGGTATTTTGGTTTTAGAGGATTGGTGTATAAAAAATTTGTTGGGTTTTTTTTCTTATTCTTTTGATTTGATGCTGCGAGTTTCTGCGATTGACCGCTTGGAATATTACATTGCGTTTGTGCTGGCGGCCAGTTTCAGTTTAATATCTTTTTGTGCTTCGATTTCGGAGACGTCGTCGGCTGCTGCGAGTTGGAATATTCCGCGTCGGTATTTGCGAGTGCGATTGCGATTGCGATTCAACGTTCCCGCTGGCGTCAGCGTGTGAAAAGAAGCTGATCAAGTACCCGCTGCGGCGTTCTACTCACTTCGATGAACATCTTGTAACTATTTTGAGCTTTCAAAAAGCGCACGAACGCAGATGCAGAGCGTCGTCGGCGGTCAAAAACGACAAAAATCAAACCCGTCGCAGCAGCAACAGAAACAGAAACAGCCGCCACCGCAGCAGCAGCCGAGGGCAAGAACAGAGAGCAAGAGCCGAGTCACGCGAGCGAAGAGTGGAGCTCGGGACTATGGGGCGGAGAAATAACGAGGCGTATACGCTATATGTGCTATAACATCCGCGGTGAAGAACTTAACTCAACTGAACTGAACCTACAGCAACAGCAGCCGCTGAAGCAGAAGCAGCTGCGGCAACAAAAACAATCCACCAACCCGAACCAGCCTGTAACCGAAGCTTCGGGTGCGATTACGAGCAGCCAAAGAGAGCCCCAAAGCCCCAAAGCCAGGTCACTGCATTTGGACCATTAACAGACCACTGTTAACCGAGCCGACCATCGCTCTGTTGGGCATTCAACAGTGGGCACTGTAAGCATGACGTTTTTCTTTCCGTTTTTGTTTGATGAAGCCATATGTTTGAAAATTTCATGGCTAAATGCCCAATTTAATTGTCCAAAGAAGCCGCAAAATGTCATCACTTACCCCTTTCTTCGCCCCTTTATTTATCAAGGATTCGAATTTTGTTTTTTTTTTTTATGATCTTTGCTCTTTAATTAAATTAGTATATTTATCCATTAGAGTTATTCACACGTAAGACGAATCATTTACAAATCATACTTTCTTATCTACAATATTTGGGTTGCGGTGGGGGCCATTCCCAATACATTCACTTTTCAAACAAAATTCATAGTTTAAATATTTAATAAACTTTCAATATCTGTTTACCCCTTGTGAAAAGAGAGTAATAATTAAAAGTGAAATTAATAGTATTTAAATGTTACACCATTAAAATTTGCTAGTATGTTTTTTAATGTATTTACTCGTCGAATTAAAAACATAAAGCTGTCATTTTTTTTGAATGCCAAATCCTATTTGTGGTCTTATCAGTTTCTGAAAAGTTTACCATTTAATTGCGCTTTTCTGATCATTAAAGTCGCTAAAAGTATTAACCGAACAAGCCAAACACCCAGGCTCGAAAAACAATGAAGACAAAGCACAATAAGCGCTTATTAAATGCCCTGAATGCGAATCAACTTTCAGCTAAATGAAAAGTGGCAACCTAGAACGCAGAAGATGGAGTAGCTTCAAAAACAATGGAAATGCCATGGCCGGAAATTCACGCAGCGGAAGTTTCTAGAAAGAGGAAGAAGAAGTTATGCTGCACACGGGTGGGGGGCTATGCTGTGCGAAGAAGTACTATGATGCTGCCAATGCCACTTGGGGATGTCAGTCACCCACAAGACGTACCCCCAGCGTTTTCACCGAACAATGTTCCCAGATGCTACTCAAATTGAGGACTTTTCTTCAGACATCCTTCTTTTCTGTTCGCTCTTTTCTTATATTTTTTGAATAGCTTTAAACTATTCTTTGGGTGAGCTGTTTAATATTTATGAACATAATTTTGGTTAAAATATTTGAAAATAATTTTATACAACTATCTTTATGATTAACAAAATTTTGATAGGTTTCTGAAAATGTATTAATCATACGCTATAAATTTCTACGAAAATGGAAGAGTTCAAACATATGCCCTTCTTATTTTTGGCCCCAAATGTACACTTCCTTTTTCCGCTTCATCCTTCTGATAAATTCCCAAATCCTGTTTAGCCTCGATTCCATCAGATTCCACTCCTACCACCAGTCGAAAATTGTCCATGCCCTGGAAGAAACAAAGCAAGCGCAAAATCTTTTGCCGCCTGGGAGAAGAGATAGAAAAAAAACACCACCAGAGGAAGGAAATTTAAGTAAAATAAGGATACAGAAGACAAAGTCACTCCGGCCGATTGAATTTAGTTTTAAGTTCCTGCAGAATCACAGAAAAGCATAAAGGATACCAGACGGCCTTTGAAATTGGGCAACAGTAGAAGGGAAATGTATGGAGGACGCCTAAATTCTGAAAAATCAAAAATAATATTCCTCAGCATAAATCAAGAGGAATCCAACAGCCCCTCGGCACCCCCTCCGACAGATTGATAAATGAGCCCCCCGCCACTTAGCACGTGCTCACAGTCCGTTTGGAGAGTCAGTCACTCAGTCAGGTACAAGGACATATACATATGTGCTCAAGTCTGCGGCGAGGACTCCCGGGACATTTGCAAACGTTATTTATGGGACTGGGGGCGAATGCAATTTGTTGTGGTCAACAAATCGCTACAAACGAAACTTTGTGTACTCTTCGCTTTTTGCCCAAAAATGAGCAAGATCATTAGAGCCACGAGAATGGTGATTGGAGAATGGGACAAAAGTTTATTAGTCACGTCCGAGGAATGTGAATCCCAGGTCCCCAAGTGGCGATGCCACAAAAAGGTGAGGGCGAGGCTCCTTCAAATATCAAAAAGTCTGCGCTAAAAGCAGCTAAAGAAATGAGCTTAAGCCAAATGGCGTTAATCCATGAATTATTGCCTAAAAGCATGCCAAAGCGCATTAAAGTTGAAGGTGACATCGGAGAGGTGGACAAGGGGATGCAGGTGGGGAAAGTTGAACAGCAGATCAGGCAGGTAGCTAAAGGACAAAGCATCAACAACATCAACAACGTTAAAATTGTGTTGATGTTCGATTAAATTACCCCAAGTTCAAAATACCCTTTAGAAAAATTCTGAGAAAAATATGAAGATATATTTAATATAAAGAATAAAAAAAAACAATTTTTGAATATTTATACAATTAGTTAACTATCAATGGAACCTAAATAATTTAATATGTTTTTGTAGTAATAAAAATAAAATTCGAATCAATTAAATTAATATAAATTAAATATAAATAAATATAGAACATTTGTGGCTCACCGAATTGTAGGAATATATATCAACAGCAAACAGTGTGAGGAATATATTTTAAACATCTAACTTCAAAAAAAGGAATTTAAGAAAAGGTACAAAAAATAACTGACCCTTAAAAAGAAAAGGAAAGGAAAGCTAACTTCGGGCGGTGCCGAAATTAATATACTCTTGCAGTTAAAACCGGATATGTACATTGCGATATACATAAAAATATTATAATTAAACCAATTAATTACAATAAAAAATCTGAAAAAAAGTAACAAGCTTCTATTTTTAAAAATACTAAAGTTGGTATTTTTACCAAATACCATTTTCAATCGTTCAGTTATATGGCCGCTATATATTCAGCTGATTGTTATAACATTTGGTAGTCTAGATTAACTGGTTAAAAATAGAATCTGTACGAAGTTCCAACTTCTATCTTCAAAAACACGAAAGTTGGGTAATCTCCGATCGTTTAGTTATATGGCAGCTATAGGATGTAGTCGGCCGATCCCATCCGTTCCGGCTTATATACAAAGGACCCTTCTTGGTGTGTGCAATGTTTCAAGTCGAAAGCTTTAAAACTGAGCGACTAGTTTTGCGTAGAAACAGACAGACGAACGTGCTTATAGTATATCAACTGAGGAGGTGATCCTGATCAAGAATGTATAGACTGTATAGGTCTATACATGCGCACATGCCGATGCGCACTTTTGACCAAAACTATAATACCCTATGCAAGGGTATAATAAAATGTTTAAAAGAAATAAAAGAGGTATTTCGAGCCAAATGTTTGGGACCGCACCCATCGGGAGAAACGGAGAAGCCATATCCAACCTTTTTGTACTTCTTTTTGAGCGTCGCGAGCTTAGTTATTCATTTTTTGTTTTGTTGTTTTATTACTGTTGTTTTTATAAGTATTGACATTATAATCAACGCGGTTTTCAATTTCAGCAACCCTCATGGCCGAACAAAAAGTTGCATCTGCTACCCCACTCTTTCGAAAAAACTTCTGTTTACTTTTGGGTTGCTCATCTTTTTTCCGCAAGTTTTTTCTCCTTCTTATTTCCATTTTTCTTTTGGTAAAAAATATGTAAATTATTACTGCGGCTATACGAGTGTGTGTGGCATGCGTCAGTCACCTGTGGTATTTCGTTTTTTATTTGTCCTAAGTGGTCTCGATTTTATTGGTCTGAAAGGTAGTTTCTGAAAGATAGATAGATGATGGCAAAGTCCCCAAAGTATTTCGGTTGGGGATACATTTTATTAGCATATACCTGGTGGACCTGAGAGGTAAATTGTATAAGGATGATGAAATTAAAGTACCTAGATGTGTTTCGTGCATCAATTTTATGGGAAAAGCTTAAAAGGGGATAGACACCATCGAAACACCAATGAAGGCCATTGAAACAAGAATTAGAAATTGGTATATTTAAAAAAAAAATAAGAAATATTATTTGAATTATTGTATCTTTAAAAAAAAACACCGAAGATATTTAAGCGTTTTAAGTTAAAAAACTTTGAGATTCATAAGTACAAGCTGAGAGATTGACTTTGCTGGCTGACAATTAGCTTAAACTGTTTCCCCGACAACCTAAACCAATATTGAGCATCTGACCAAGTCCAACAATCATTTTGATTTATGGTGCCCTGCCCTGAATGCCCCACCCCTGCCATCCGTCTGCCTGCAAGGGCTGCAGTTAAGTAAATATTTTTACAGTAGTCGGACCTATTCAATTTCAGAGCTCCGATACCGCTGGTCAGCCCTCCCTCCACATCCAAGAATTTCAGAGAAGGGGGCGTAAGCTGACCTTTGTTTCAAAGGCAAACAATGACAATGTGAAAGACAAACCAAAGACACACAAAACCAGACCGACCAAAATCCGATGAAAGTCCACATGAATTAAGTTATGGTTATAGACATTTACTGCAAACGTATGAGTGGGTCTGTTCTGGATCCCTGTTGACAGTTGAGAAGCATTTTCAAACTTTGATTTGAGTTTGTTTATGGCTTTTGAAGGAGGGTGGCTTTAAAATGAACTCTGCTCAGCATTAAATACGAGCCATCGCGACTCAAATAGAGACGGCAAACACACGATACCTTTTCTAGAGCTTATATTTAAATCTTTCGCTGCTTGAATCTGTGTTTGTGTTTCTGAATTTGACTCTGTAATTTAAAGCTGCAACACCTTTTTTTTCTATTTGACAGACGACGGCA